GCTGGGTCTGTAGGCTGTGGCGACCCCTGGTGATCTCAGTGGGACACTGCAGGTGGACTCGTCACCCTACCCTCTCACCTCCATTGCTTTCTCCAGGTGGGCCTCCTCTTAGGTGAAACCTCTGATTGGGACCCCCAAGCCCCTGGTGTGTGGGAGGATAATGCACAGGACTAGCTGGTCATAAGGTCGTCCGTGGCTAACCTCTCAGAAGTGGATCGTCTGTTCCTTCTTCTGGAAGCTCAGTTGAAGCCTATTTACCATGGGTGACCCTGTGGCCATTTGAAACACCCGTGGCAAAGCTTCCAGCATCACAGCAACATGCAAGCCGCCGCAGTGGGACAAACGGACAGACTGGGGGCCAGGGAGCCACGTCAGCCTCTTTTGAACACCATGGATGCATGGGAAGCGTGGTCCTGGCAACAAGAGCTCAAAGTATCCCGGGGTGCCAGGGAAGCAAACGCATCTGGCTTGGAAGAAGGAGAGCCAGAACTTGGATGGTGAGACCGGTCCCTGGAGGGCGTCACGCTTGGTAAAGGAGAGGGGCAGTGCAAAGGAGGAGCCTCAAGGAGATGGGTGGACACCGTGGCTGCAACGATGGCCCCAAGCAACCATCATGGCGAGGATGGCGCGGGACGGGGCAGTGTTTCATTGGGTTGTCCCTGGGGTCCTTGAGGAGTAGGAAACCACTGAGCGGCACCTAAGGAGATCAGCTACAGCCGAGGGGAGGAGTCAGCGTTCCAAGAACATCCACTCCCCTTCCTCTAACCCCTCTGGTGCCAGCTGCCCAGAGCTGACCCTCCGCAGAAGCGAGTGACGCTGTCCCGCATCCTCATCGTATAGCTCTTGTGCCGCTCCACCCGACCGAGGGTCTCTGTCTGGGTGTCGCCATGTCTTCCGCCATCAAAGGACGGTGTGTCCACAGCAAGCCAGGGGTCACTGTTCTGCTGTGATTTGTAAGGTCTTCACCGGCTGGTTTTCAGGAAGAGGTCGCCAGGCCTTTCTTCCTAGTCTGTCGCAGTCTGGAAGCTCCACTGAAACCCTGCTGCCATAGAAAATGCCCTTGGATCGCTTCCAGCACCCTAGCAGCCACCACAGGCAGACAAACGGGCAGCCTCGGCAATTTTTATAAATGAAGTTTAATGTTGGAAGGGCAACACATGCACACGATGATTTTAAATGTGAATTGTACACAGGATATGCAGAGAAATGTGAGGGGACCTCTCCCGTAGTCCCCTCCCTGGAAAGCACAGTTCATACCAGCGTTTCCTTCCATAATAGCTGGACAAGAAGCCCCTCTCCCAGGTCAATAAACAATTGTTTATTGCTTTTCACTGTTTCCTCAAACTCAAACTCCCTGCATCCAGCCCATTCCAGACCGGCGTGACCCTGTAGGACAGGGTAGAACTGCCCCTGGAGGTTTCTGAGACTAACTCTTTATGGGAGTAGAAAGTCTTGTCTTTCTCCCAGGGAGCAGCTGGTGGCTTTGAACTGCTGGACTTGTGGTTTGCAGCCCAATGCATAACCACTATGCGACCGGGGCTCCTCCCCTCATCTAACAGTTAAATAATATTCCACTAGATGGATAAACAGCTTATTTAAACAATAAATAAGTGGCTGCTAATCTCAATTCACAGACATGTTGATTGTTTCCAATTTTTTTTTTGGGGGGGGGGTTGATTTATTAAGAATACAGCCAAGGTTAGGGGGAAGTGCGGGGAGAGGTGGGGAGGAAGGGTGCACCAATCACAATGAATGGCACATAACCACACACACCCATCCAGGGGGAAGAACAACAGACGTCAGAGGAGAAAGGAGATAACAGTCGGTGTGAGATATGAAAACAATAACAATCTATATC